TATACACCTAGGATGCATCGGGGGTGAGTAAAACGCAGCCTAATTTTCATTTTTGGATGAACTAACCCTTTAAACACTTGAGTCAGTTGTTTAGGTTAGTGTTACAAATTCCATTTTTAATTTTTAAATTCATATAGTAATTATAGGCTGTTAACATGTTTACTAAATCAAAGCCAACAAATACAAACACTTCACCCGTAATTACAGATATGAGAGCTGCAGTGTATTGCTTGTGCTATCTTAATGTGTGACATGTGTTGGTTATGCTACAGTAACCAGGCAGTGCGGATGCTGGAATGCCGGGAGAAGCCCACCCCAGACATGTTCGGAGAGCTGCTGAGGAACGCCAGCACTGTGGGAGACCTGCGCAACTGCCCGGTTAGCATTACCACACTCCGCCACACACTCAGCTCTATCAAATCAAGTGCTAATTAGGCATAATGAAGCCTGTTTTCATTTTTGGATGAACTAACCCTTTAAACACTTGAGTCAGTTGTTTAGGTTAGTGTTACAAATTCCATTTTTAATTTTTAAATTCATATAGTAATTATAGGCTGTTAACATGTTTACTAAATCAAAGCCAACAAATACAAACACTTCACCCGTAATTACAGATATGAGAGCTGCAGTGTATTGCTTGTGCTATCTTAATGTGTGACATGTGTTGGTTATGCTACAGTAACCAGGCAGTGCGGATGCTGGAATGCCGGGAGAAGCCCACCCCAGACATGTTCGGAGAGCTGCTGAGGAACGCCAGCACTGTGGGAGACCTGCGCAACTGCCCGGTTAGCATTACCACACTCCGCCACACACTCAGCTCTATCAAATCAAGTGCTAATTAGGCATAATGAAGCCTGGGACTGTGTGTGTGTGTGTGTGTGTGTGTGTGTGTGTGGATGTGGCGCTTGTCTGGGTTTGAATAGGATTGTGGCCATTAAGTAATCGCTGGGTCAAAACAGGATGCAATCAGTGGAATGTTAATTTGTCTCGTGGCCCTGAGGAGGACCAAATTCTTACGCAAAGCACGCACACTTGTTTTCATGTCAGATCAGGATTTCCTTGGATAAGGCATGACGGCTTATCACATTGCAAAAAAATAATTTTCTTAATCAGTATTTTTGTCTTGTTTTCCAGCAAAAATATCTAAACATCCATGAAACAAGATATATTTACTTCAGAGGCAAAATAACATAAGTCAGGAGGATTTTTTTTTTTTTTACGTTTTTACAAAATTAATACTTCCTTCAGAAGTGTGAGATTTATAATGTTACAAAAGATTTATATTTCAAATAAATGCTGTTATTTTTAACTTTCTATTCATCAAAGAATCCTGAAAAAAGTATAATGGTTTCCACAGAAATATTAAACAGTGCATCTGTTTTCAGCATTGAAAGGGTCATGTGACACTGAACACTGGAGTAATGGCTGCTGAAAATTCAGCTTTGTCATCACAGGAATAAATTACATTTTAAAATATATGAAAATACAAACCAGTTTCTAAATTGTATTCATATTTTTAACCTTGCTGTTTTTACCGTATTTTGATATTTTGAGCATTAGAAACTTCTTATATTCAAAAGGGAAAAAAGTTGGGTTTTTTTTAAGCCTATTGGCAAGTACATATTTTTTTCTAATTCAAGCATAAACCAAGCTTAAATTTTGACTTCTCTGATATTCATATACGACATTCATATAATAATGAATCATTACATTATTAGATGACATTATGCTTTTATGTTTGTCTGTTCACTAGTATTAATGGAAGTAAACATGTTTTGAGTTGACACTATGGCAAGATTTCCTTTTGAAATGAACACATTTGAAAGTTGAAGAACAATCTGTGTAGATCTGAAACAGACATGTTATCTTGACCCTCAGACATGCTTCATGCAACCTAAACACACACACAAAATATGGGTGTTCATCTGTGGTTTCTGATCTATATTAGGGTGACTGTGTAAGTTTGGGCAGGGGGAATGGGAATTAATGGTAATGGCTAATGTAAGTATGTGTGTGTTTCATTATAGCTCCAGAGCTTTCAAGCTCCAGTATATAAAAAAAAATTAAAAACATTTTTTCTCCTCTAAAGGGCAACTGTGGAGAGAAGCTCCGTATTCGACGTGTCCTGATGAACTCCCCAGAGATCATAACCATTGGCCTGGTGTGGGACTCAGACCACTCTGACCTAGCAGAAGACGTCATTCATAGCCTGGGCACCGTCCTGCGGCTCGGAGATGTAAGACATGCAACCTGCCAGTAGTTAAAATATCCCACAAACTACACACAATTCCGCTGATATAAATCGGTTGATAGATGAACAAATCCACAACTGAAAACAGAAGCTTTTGAAGTTATAGATGGTGATAAATGCATTCGGCTCCAAACAGCAGTGCTACAACTCTGAGATCACTGTGATGCACATGGGAATTACAGGCAGAACTTGTCAAACTTGTTGCATCAATGACAATGACTCGCACATAAAATTGTGTGAGTCAAAAATTTGCATTTCACTAAGTACTGGGTTCACGTTTCAATGTGAAATGTAAAACCGTTTTAAAAGGCCTAAACAAATGATTATTTTAAACTGAAATACATCTAGAGATCAAGAGTGGTGATTTGATAATCTCCATCACAGATGTTTTTAATGCCTTTGAAAGATCTCATGGTCACTTAAAATAGGTAATCTTTGTAATGGTTTGGTTGTGTGGGTCTACTTTTATGTGTGTATGTGAATGTGTTTGTATTTGAGTAATAAGCGACCTCTTGTCCTTCGTTTCACCCATAGCTGTTCTACCGAGTGACAGAGGACAAGGCCAAACAGGCGGAGCTCTACCTTGTGGGCGTGGTCTGTTACTATGGCAAACACTACTCTACTTTCTTCTTCCAAACCAAAATCCGCAAGTGGATTTACTTCGATGACGCTCATGTGAAAGAGGTAATAATCTGGGCTTTGTGTAACCAGTGAATGTGAAAAATGCAGCCCTTAGCTTGCCGGTTTGCCAGGGTTGTTCGTAGGGCTTTATTTATACATGCCCTGATCTAATGTTCCTTGCTTGCTCTGTCCACAGGGAGTTTGTGTAGAATCATTAACTGGGATAGACCAATGTGTTGGCTCGTTATTTAGCAGTGCCCCACAGGCTCCCAGCATGTGGTGGGTGGGTGGTTGAATGTATGTGCGTGTGCTGTTTTACATAATTCGACAGCTTGTTGACTCACCACTTAGGAGTCTGTGTTGGTGTGTTTGTCTGTGTGTGCAGGTATATGTGCACATGCCAGTAACTCAATGCGTCAATAGTCATTAGTGCACATTCTGTATATGGTCATAACATAAAGACAGGAATGGCACAATGTTCATAGCAAGTGAACGTCAATAAGTTATTATGCACAAATCTGGCACATGCCGACAATGTACAGTAACGTTCCAATTTTTTAATACTTTTATTCAGCATGGATGCATTAAATTGATCAGTATCTACATTAACCCTTTGGGGTCGACAAACGCAGATACGCGTTTTATGGTGCTACTAAGCAACTGAAAAAAGCACAAATGTCAGGGCATGTCAAAACTTCTCCAGGGCCCCAAAACACCCTCGGACCCCAGAGGGTTAAAGACTCCATCACAGGACTAAATTACATTTTAAAATATATTAAAATAGATATCAGATTTCATATAGAAAACTAATTTCAGCAACGTTAAAAAAATCTTACTGACCCCAAGCTTTTGCATTTTCCATATTATGACTGGTAACTAATAAATGCTGAATTTTATTTAAGTATAAAATATTAATTGTATAAAATACTAAAATTCTGTACTATTTTACCTAAATTAGAAATAAAACGATGTTTTATAATGTACAGTATGACAAATGGATACTAATTTTGAGAATTTTAAAAATTAACTTTCAGTAAGAGTTAGATGGCCGCAAGGATAATCTGAATAGTAAAATATAGAAAATGAGAATGCTCAATTAAATGCTCATTATCAGCTGATACCAATCTCGAATATTGGTTGATGACTGATGTGGTACCAATATATTGGTACATCCCTACTTTTTACAGTGATACGTTTACTGCATAATTCCTGCAAGTATTAAAGGTACTTGGAAAAACAAATAGTGTGTGTTATGTCATTCCCTTAGTTCTGAACTTGCAGAATTTTATCTTCATAATAGCAGTGCAGGGCTGTGGATTCTAGACAGTTGCAAACCAAGCAGCTTTTTCTGTGGGGTCTGGCAAGCCTATGCTGACCTGCACGTGAGCTGCGCAGAGCTCCTACAAAAGCCCTCTGAAAACAAGGATATCCCACTATTGTTTACAACCCCAGCTGGACAGTGACAGGGCGTGGCCTACAGACAGAATCCGCCATGATAGTCCACCGCAAACAAACACACACACACTAAAGCTCACTGTCCCGCTCACACTTTCACGTTTTCGTGCATGCTTGTCTGTTACTGCGGCTCGCTCGGGCATCCTGTCTGTTTATGGAGGGAGCGTAGAGAAAGTCATCCATTTGGGAAGTTGGAGTCTTGGGGGTAAGATTGGTGTGAAAATGACAGAAACTTGTCGGACTTGAGTTTCAGTCTCAGCTTTGTTATTCAGGGTATCCAGAACATTTCAGCTGGTCTTTGCTTTTTTGTTTTGTTTTTCACTAGGTGAGAGTAATATTTGGTTGAGCTTTTTAGGGATTAATTTAGGAAAATCTGTCAAATGTATTATTTAAACTGCTTTAAAACTATACTCTCAACATCTTGCCTTTTATTTTCTCTCTCACAGATTGGGCCCAAGTGGAAGGATGTGGTGTCCCGCTGTATAAAGGGGCATTCCCAGCCGCTGTTGCTGCTCTATGCTGACCCCCGGGGGACGCCAGTGTCAGCTCAGGATTTGGCTTCTCGTCTAGACCTACATCACTACACTAAAGCATACTACGACAGTGAGGATTCAGGTACTTGCACACCAGCATAAGGCCGGTTTACTGGTCCAATTTATTTTACTGCATTTCTTTGGTGCACCTTCAGGAGGATGTTTTACATAGTAAAGCAAATGTTTCAATTCATAACAAAACAAGTAATATTTCAATACTGATTATAATAATTATATCTATGCATTGCTTTATAGACAAAACTTTAGTGGAGTTTGCTAAGACTGTCGGTGTAAAAAAGAACAATTCTGTTAAACGGTGAAGAATCAGCAGCTGTAATAACCATATATTTCATTAGAAGATATGATGTCAATATACTGAGCTACTTGAACTGCTTTTTACCTTACAATATACCGATAATATAGATGGTAATAGAGTTCATCATAAGTAGCCTGTCCATAAAACATAGCTAATACTCATGAATAAATGGTGCACAGGGTAATACACACAAAGACAAAACAACAAAACTTTGCCTTAGAGTTAAATGTTGTGCTACATCATAGTTATATCAGAGCTATATCTAGGTACCAGAACATAATAGAAACTTGGGATGAGCTCCTTTGACCTGAGTAAACATCCACCCAGAATACCTAGCAGTGCCCTGTCACCTCTCAAAACTCTTTTTGCCAGTCACAACTTTTGACTGAAAATTCCAGAATATAATTTTTAAAGCAATATGGGTTCCCCAGTTGGTAGCCTCAGTGATAAGCATCAGAGGCTTTGAGAGGTGTGTGTTGGAGGCAGAGTCTCTGTTAGACCAGTCTCTGAGGTTGGAACAGGCAGGAGAGGTGGCCGCCGCTCTGTCTGTGGTTAACGAAGCAATGTGTAAGTAATCCTGCCCTTAGCCTGCTCCTGCTATCATTACTGCCACATGTTTGTGTGTCTGTACATCTCTGTGTTTGAGTGTGTTTGTCTCTGTTCCATATAAAGACTCTCACTAATACACCAGATACACTTTTACTGTCTGCCTTCACACAATAGTAGTGACATGGTTTAAGTCTGCATATACATGGGCCGACATTCCTCCTTATTCTGAGTATTTTTGATTTTGACTGTGAGGTCATAATGATACAGGCTGATTTGCCTGTAACCATAGAAACCCACCAGCAGCCCTAAAGAAGTGCGACCTGGACCTAGTGCTATGGTAACCTTAATGAATACTTTGTGTAGTGTATGATGTATAGGGCTGCCACTAACGACTTTTTATTTTGATTAATCTATCGACTAATTTATCATTTAATTGATTAATCTAAATGATTAATTTCCCACAAAAAAATCAAAATTTTACTTAAGAATATTTTATTCAACTATATTTCATTAAGCCAAAGAAATCCAAGTGTCCATCTCATAGTCCAAATAACTGAAATCAAAGTTCAGTATTATAGTGTAAGAATGACAACATATCCACGTGTTCTAGTCTACTAATAATAAAATTATAATAAAAAAACACTTTTTAAAGGAATATTTACCAGAATTTATTTAGGAGAAAAATGTAAATGTGCAGTATTTCTGAAAAACAAAACTTTTTTTTTTTTAAATAAAATAAATTAATTGGAGATGCTTTTGATTATTAAAATTTAATGGAACCATTAAAATGGAATCCAGAAAATAATGGAAAACAGAATTTGGTAAAGATAAAACTGTAAAACTCAATTAATTAGACAGGCTTTTTGATTAATAAAATTTAATTTAACCATTAAAACAGAGTATAGAAAAATGAAAATGGAAAAAACTGAATTTGGAAATAAAACGGATTTCATAGTGCCCTATAATTATAATTTTTTTTTTTTGTGGTAATAAAAATAGATGTTAGTGAACTATAAAATTAAAAAACAACATGCAGAGATGGACTTTGAGACGCTCTACACATGTAAATGCTAACAGTTCCTGTGGAACTACTGTGAACGGAGCCACATGTACTTAACATGCTGTGTGCTGCATGTACTTAACCTACACGCATGTAAATAATTAAAGCGCATATACTGTATTAGAACTGCATCGCATATAATTATTTAATTAAATCGTAGCATTTGTGAATTCACAATTATGCTTAATTATGATTTTTAAATGAGTTTAATATATCATGCAGCCTTGGAAAACAGACTAATAATGTGTTTTATACATTCTCGTCTGTGAAATGTGCCACTTCCGGTATTTTGCCGGTTAGTCGACTCGGAGCAAAATGAAGTCAAGGATTTTAAAAAAATCGAATAGTCGAATAAAATCGACGAATCGCAACAGCCCTAATGATGTACACTAAGGTCTGCTGCATTTGAAATAGATTTGATGCTAGTCAAGTGTGACCATGTTGAGATCTACATCAGCCAATCACCATGTCCCTTGTCTAATAAACAAAAGTTGTTTACCTTTGTGTCAGTTCCAAATCCTATCTGCAACACTCACCATTTTATTCTGCAGTTATTAAAATTGTTTTAATAAATTTTATCTTAATATATTTATTACATTTAAACATCGAACGATTGCCTTTTACATTTAAACATTAAACTTTTTTTAATACAGTGCCTAGCATGCAGCCCCTTAAGCCATGACTAGCAAGTGTTTTAAAGTAACTGGAATTGACCAGACTCTAGGGGCCGGATTCACAAAACATTCTTAAGAATGAAATTCTTAACTGCTGTTTTATTCTTAACTTCTAACTTAAGAATAAAGTTAAGAATATTTTGTATACCAAAAAAACATTTCTTAAAGGGGTCATATGATGCGATTTCAATTTCATGTTATGTTACTAATTCACACACACACCTACCTACCTTCAAGTTATTTCTTTAAAGGGGTCATCAGATGCAAAATTTACTTTTCAAGTTGTTTGAACATAAATGTATGTTGGAAGTGTGTGCACACATCCATCCTATAATTATAAAAATCCATCCAGTGTTTTTTTTTAAATCCCTATTTTTTAAAATCCCCTTTCTCAAACCAGGCTGATCTGAGATTCCTGTCAGAATGACGTAGTTCTGTACAGGCCCCTCCCACGATAGTTGATTGACAGTAGTGTTTTGGACAAAGCGGAGTCCAACCCGGGGTTGTCACATGTGGTTGCCGCAAGCCCGCTGGCCGCTCCTTCGTCGAATCCGCTGGCAGCGCCGTTCTCAAGCCCGCCCGCCTCTGCTCACTCGAGCCGGCCTCTGCTCACTCTAGGCCTCCATCCCCCGATCACTCAAGGCCGCGGTGTGTGACGCTTTTTCGTTGTGAAAGCGAAAGCGATTGAGGTGCTTTATTGTTGGATGTAATAATGAATATAGCAATCGTCATTTACTCCCGACATCTGAGCTGCTGAAGACGCAGAGGATTAACGGTACTTTCGCTTTGGAGTGAATGCGCCACTCCCGATCAGCCTAAATGCATCTGTTCGCTCGAATCATTCGTGATCCAGCCTCATCTACAGAAGTGAGTATAGGGGTTTTTTATGAATCTTTGCAAATCACCTTTCCTAATAATGTGCTAATTAGCAAGTTTCACGATGAATGCGGCTAAAGTAAACAGTCTCTCTGAGAGCAGCTCGGAAGAGAGGGGCAGGGCCAGCAGAGCTCATTAACATTTAAAGCAACATGGACTATAATGGCTTGATAAAACAGCTGATTTTGACAGTTTTAAAAAGGTGTTTTTTACACTAACATTGAGAAATTTTAACCAAAGTATGTTATAGACTTTTAATTAAGACCCTAAAGAATCATATCAACTTGTGCAAAATGAGCATCCGATGACCCCTTTAAACCGCATAAACACATTTCATTACACCAAATACACAAAATAATGTTCTTTTTAGCAGCATCATATGACCCCTTTAAGAATGTTGATCTTTTTGAATTCCTGAAAATAATTTTCTTAAAAACCATCATAAATGCTAGTAATATGTCAGTTAGGGACCTCGTTTTAATTGTATAATTTTGACATAATTTGTAATTTGGCAACTTTCAGCACATGCAAAGATTTTCTTGTGGACAATTCATCTGTGCATGTTTTTTTTACCTCATAATCTTTGTGGTGAAGGATGCAGGACTTATCCAGTCAGTTAGCCTGCGTAAACCGTCCCCTGCAAGCCTGTTTAGTCTGCCTCCAGACATATTAAAAAAATTATTTTAGAGCTTAAGCTTTTTTTTTTTTGGAAAATTGTACTTTCAAATGTTCTTACGAATTTAAGAAACTTCTTAACTTCTTTCGTGAATCCAGCTATCCAGCTCCAACTATCAGTTTTTGTGAATGTCAATAAAATGCTCTCTGTATCTTTCTGTCTGCGGTTGATGTAAAAGCTGTTTGCTTACCAATGTCATTTTACGTCTGTCTGTCTTTTGTATGTCATACCCTGAGCTTTGTCACTTATGGGGTGACCACATGCACGGACGCACTCACACACACACACACACACACACACACACACACACACACACACTCTTGCACCTTCCATGGCCTGGCCCCTGTGTGTTACCTACACCTCACTCCCCCCCTGCCTCTCGGTTTCCAGAGCCTCTGTAGGGTTGAGTAGATTGCAGCTCATATGAAGAGGAAAGAATTCTCAATTCTGTAATTATTTATAGTTAATTATACTGAGATGTGGTGTTAGCCTCGTGTAATTTGCTTTTTTTAAGTTCAGTGGCTGAACTACAATTCATTTTGATTTAAGTCAACTTCATTATAATTTAATCATTTTGTGCTTGAGATAATTTAACATTTGTGTAAAGGATTTTACTAGGTTCCCCATCTCCCCTATTTGTGTGACCCTCCCCTCAACCCCTTCCTCATAATTCAGGACCCTTCAAAACCCTTTTAATTTCAGTTCTTTGTAATGTGTGTTTGCATGTCCCCCATGACTCGGCTCTTTATTTTCTGCATCTGTTTCATTTTTCTTTTGCCTTTTTTTGTTTTGTTTTGTTTGCGTTGTAGCTAAACTCAGGCATACCTTGCATGAGAGCAGCGCTAACGCTCAGGGCAGGATGCAAAAGTGCATGAGGAGAGCACGAGGTCTGCAGCAGCGCATGCAGCAGCAGCAGCAGCAGAAGCAACAGGAGGAAGAGAAGGAACAGAAACAGCCCCTCAGGTACCTGCTGCTGGCTGCAGTTGTGTATATGTGTGTGTGTGCACTCCAGGAGCCCTGCACACGGGAAGAGGAAACATGCATTGTGCCTTAAAAATAATGATCAATACTTTTTTTAACTTGAAGAATTGAAAGTCAGGTTAGTGTAAGAGATCATATTGCAACGAGCTGCTCAGGTAATGTCACGTTGTTAGAGAGGCTGAAACAAATCTGTATACTGCATGACATCGTCAAGAACTGATTCAAGATACTGACTCAGGTAGGTTCACATTATTTATTATCAGAAACTGATTATTATTTTTCATGTTCTGCATTTAGTGAGCAGTCTGTCCCGGTCCAAATACTTCTGACAAATGTTAAAGAAGAGGATGAGAAGGCAGTTTCAGAAAATGCATTAAGACCACCATCACCTCTCCACATGAAACCTCAGTCTACAAATAAACCGATTTCTGAAGCCCCCGGCCCTCCTGTCTCCTCCTACCATACCGATACACATTGCCAGCAGCAAGACAATGCAGGGGACAACTCCAGTCCTCTTGCTGTGACAGAGAATGGGCCACACTCACACACGTGGGGCCCCAGAGACCCTGTAACCACCACAAACTCTCTTGTACAAACTTCTAGTATGCTCCGTTCTGTCACTGTGCCTGTGATCGCACTGAATGGCTGTGAGGCTCCTCTTAAGTCGTCGGCTCCTCTCAATACGCCCTCTAGTTCATCTCATTTCAGTGCCCGTCAAACACCTTCCATTTCTGATCAATCCAACTCAGGGGAAGGACTGCAAAACCCGCCTCGTCCTCTGTCTCTCCACGGCCTAACCCACACACCCCACAGCCATGCTTCTGATGCCTGTCAAAAATCACTCCTGGCACCCTCGTGTAATTGGTCCTGTCGCAGTCTGGAACGTCCTGATGGCCGTCCTACTGAGATGGAGGCCTCCCCATACTCTCCAGCAGTCCTCCGCTCCCCCTCGTCCCCCTGTCCTCCGTCCCGGTCTTCACCAGAACGGGATCAGCGTCCAGCCGGCCCTATGCCCGTGGAGCGGTGGGCCGAGAATGTCAATCGATACTACAACTCCCAGAATTGTGCACGTTCGGGACGTGGCTCACCCTGTGAGGAGCTGTCAGAGCTGGACTCACTTTATCAGGCCAGCTTGAAGGCTCCCAGCATGCCCCGAGCCCCACAGGGACCCAGCCCTCAGCTAGCCAACAGATCAGGTAATTTCGAACAAGATCTCACTGAGATCTCATATAACACTCTGTTGAAATATGTTTAAAAAACGTATACGTAGCAAAAAAACCCCAGTAAATTTCAGTTATTTAAAAACATATTAAAAATAATTAAACGTTTTACCGTAAAAAAAATCTATATAAAAATGCACGAGAGTTCAAAAGTAAGAGCTCCAACCCATGTTCTTAACTAAGAAAACTTAAGTCAGTAAAAACTCAGTGAATTGACTTGTACCTGAACTTTAAAGGGGACTCAACTCTCTTTTTATTTGTGATACACTGTCTCAGTCTAAATTACATCCACACTGGTGTTTTAGGAATCCAAACAAATTAGAATATATTAAAGGGGTCATATGATGTTGCTAAAAAGGAAAAATTGAAATCGCATCATATGACCCCTTTAATAATAACAACAATTAGAGTAATAGCCATATATTGTAAAACAATTGAAATGAAAATGAACATTTCATAGGTATATTATTTTTGCTTTACACTACAGTAGGGAAATTACAATACTTCTTTCCTAATTTCTACACTTGAAAGAGATATTTTGAATTTAGACTGCATTTAAACTGCTAGCTGTCAGCAATTCATACTGCATACTTTTAAGCTTTTATTTTGACGGAAATGGCAGTAGAGCTTTTATTTTGAAGGAAAACTCCAGCTTCAGTGAAAACAGACTTACAAACACGCGTCTCACTACAAATTTTGTGAAATGCTGTCATCATCTGCTGTGAAAATAAAGCATAACAGGTGGCCGTTTTTTTAAGTGTAGTTTTTTTTTAAACTACACTTTTTGCCTGGAGGACCTATCGTTTCATATCGTCATGTGACCACGATAATATCGAGATAGTTTTGCTATCACGATATCACAATATTGATACTATCGTTACATACCTAACTTATTTATATATTTATTTATTTATGAGTTGTCCTTTCTGGAACCAGGTTGTATAAATTTAGTGTTCGTCTAGGTCCCGCTGCTTCTCGTAAGCACAACGCTGGATACTCTGCCACACTTGGTCGTTCTAAAACCCCTACAGCAGAGATCGAGAGGAGTGCCTACAGGACGCCAGCATACAGCACTAAATCACTTCAGAGGGTGCGTTGGCATACCTGCATTATTTCAGTAGTATTTATAGTATTATGTATAAGATGTGTGTATAATTGTCATCACACAAAGTGAAGATCTTTCTTAGTATTTGATAAGGATTTGAAATGCTAATGCAGTGTCATTATGTGTGTGTGCAGCCTGTGTCTGCTGCGGCCTATGATGCACCACTGGGTGAGGATGAATCATACAGTGCCGAGAACCTGCGACGAATTGCTCGGAGTCTGAGTGGGACTGTCATTGGAGGACAGACTGATGTACCCCCGTCTCGCAGCTTTGTGGGTGTCTCACAATTTAAAGTCACTTGGTCAAACACTCAAACCTCATATTGTGCACTCAGAATACATTAGCACCATTTAATTTGCTGCAAAAACAGCTTTCAAGTACTTTTCTCAGTATGTATGAAATGTTACATCATGGTTTTAGGCAGTGTGGTCTTAAATGTTTGTGAACTCACTTTGAAAGAGGAATACTGCCACCTGGTGTGGCTGTGGAGAAGACAAAGAAACTTAAGTACATAGTGGTTTTTAGACGACGTATCACTTCAGCTGCAAAACTACCTTTTCAGTTATAATAAGATTTATTTATTTGTTTAAATCAGCCAATCATCTCACAGATCTCTTGGAATCCTTCATGGACCCCAGTAGTTGGCAGACTCCAGTTTGAGAACCACTGAAGTAGAGCTTAAGTTATTTTCGTTGTTTTCATTTTTATATTTTATTTCATTTATATGTCCATTGTCCATCTGTTCTTTAGTTACCAATTGTTTTTGTGTGTGGGTGTGTGTGTGTGTGTGGGTGTGTGTGTGTGTGTGTGTGTGTCATTTCTGTCCTTGTCATGGTGCTGCTGGGAACTCCTATTATTTTCATGTCTCCTCCTCTCTCATCCTTTCATTACTTTTTTTTTTATTTCTTTCATAAAGGACCCCCATGTCTCCAGGATGTCCACGCATGTGAATGTGCAACTCCCCACACGTCGTTCCAGCACCTCCCTGCATGTTTTAACCCCTACTTCCCACAATCCTCCTATGTTCCCTCATGAACCGCAGCCCCAATACCCTCACCCAAGCCACCGCCACCACCCCGCCCTTCCATCACACCTGCACCAGCAGACACTGAGGCTCTCTCATGGACAAAAAGGTAACCATCTCACCCCACCCGCACTTTCAGCCTTCATGTTGCAGACACAGATGCTTTTTACTCTGTCTGCAAGAGGCTGCCATCTGTGTTGTCTGTGATTTTGCGTTTTAACACTTTTGTTGTTAAACTAGTCAAAGGACCTAAAACGCTATTGAGGTTAAGCTTGATGATTCATCTGGCAAGATGTATTCTGTTTGTCTATTTAACAATTTTCTGACCTTTCATAAGGTCTGCACAAAAAAACTAATAGCATTTTTTCTCAAAAATATATAATGATAATAATTATTATTATTATTATTTTTATTTGTTCAATATTTTTTTGAATAATAATAATCACTATAATATAGAAAATATCTGTTTTAAAACAAGCAAAACATATTTATATAAATTACAGTTTTTGTGATTTGTCAATTGCTCTAAGCTATATCAAGATTTTGTTTTATTATAATTAATCATGCAGCCCTACACAGGATGCATCACTGCTATAAACAACAATTCTAATTTTCTTCGCTCCTCTCTGCAGGAGATTGCCAAAAGGCCAACAAGTTTTTGGCTGTGCTTGACAGGGGTGAAACTTTCTCCCGTGAAAACTACCACAATGTCGCAATGAGCTACGGCACCCTTCCAAGGGCCCACCGTAGGTCAGTTTCATCTGGGCCCCCTGTGCACCAAGCAAGGCCGGGACCCCCAGCGGGCCCAGGCCCCCGGAACCACCCAGACGCAGCCTACGCCACACTATCCCACCCTCACCGCACTACAGCATCAAATAGGACAATGGATGGCTTTTACAGACAGCCCCACCAACAATCTGCTTCAACCACCCCAATCCTGCATCACTCCAGCCATCATCACCCTCACCTTGAGCCGCCGACCCAACCCCTCCGCCTTGATGTGCCCCCCGACAGGGACTGGAGGGCTGCTAGGGACACTCATGTCTTCCCCAGGACAGAACCACGTGGTGGGACATCCCGTGGCCCTCCTGTTTATATCTGCGGGTTGTGCAAGCAGAACCCAGCTGAGCCCACTAGAAGCTACTGCCAGACCTGCAGAGCCCATATGAACCACTACAGAATGACCAGCTGAGTCATGCAGGAAACGCATCCTTCAACGCACTCATTCTCTGACTTGGAAGTAAATGTGAGAGCCCATGCCAATTCTGTGAAGCTCTTCACACAGCAAAAAAGGAAGGTCTTAGGTTAGCTGCTTTGGCTAAAGTGAAAGACAATGATGTTTGGCTCATATGTGAATGTGGAGTGGTCATTTTCCAAAAGCATATTTTAAACGCAGCTGCTGCATTTAAACGCTAAAAGGAGGATGTCCACTCCCTGCGCTTTTAAACATTTCCACTGCAAATTCAGTTCCACAGAGTTAGGTTCACTTTAATTGGCCACCATCTCAGCACAAAGCTGTGAAGAACAGAGCACTTTGCTGCGTGGGCCGCTGCATCTTAACTGATGCAAACACAAAATGCCAAGACTGACAAACCTTGCCTGCTGATATACAGTGTCTGCTCCGTATATGCACAAATATGCTTTAGTTTCCAATTAGCCTTCCAAGCTAACCTTACTTAGTTCTGTGATAGTAATTTAACTGTTAACTCAAGTTTAGTGCACTTCAGAAGTGTTAAGTTAGAAGCGTTCCTCTGTTGTAACTTCTCCCATTTTTATGGGAAAACAATGTTTATGTGTAACTACTTCATTTAGAGGGCTGTAACGTCAGTGTGTGCAAGTAATCAGAGGTACATCAGGTACCAACAGTCAACTTTCAACAACCTCATTGGCATTTGTGTCGATATTTTTGTGTACAGTATTGTTCTGCCTGATAGTAGCACCGACACCTGTTGTGATCTTTTTATTTTAAATATTTTGTAGTAGCAACAGTTGAACTTTTTGGTTTCTACAGTATATCTTACATTAACTGTTAAGTGCAAAACTTTTTCAGGCTGTTTTAAGACTTAAGAGATCGAAAACAGAAGGACAGAACATTCTGCAGTGCCTTGGTTTGTGAAAGGCAAAGTAACTGGGTGCCAGTGTCCATTTTATACATTTTCAGTCACATAATAATGCTTATTATAATAGTGCTAAATTCAAGAATTGCCGTTTTCAGTTGAGATCATTTTAGTTTTTCCCCCACTGGAGAATGAATGCTTTTTATATTCTTTTTATTTAATTTCTTGAATGCTGTTGAGGAGGAACTTGTGGCTTGAGATGGTTAATTAGTTTAAGTCTTAAACATTGAAAGTGTTGAGAGTGTCTGTCGGCTATTAGCTGAGTTTGATGGTGCAATGTGCCATTTCATGGAAATGAAAGTGTTACCTGCTCATCCTAGTGAACACAAGAGTAGTTAATATTGAAACAGGGCCAAACATTTTTTTTCATACATTTTAGAGCATGTCAAATACCTCAACCAATCACATGCTCTCTTATTTTTATTTCACCAGAACAGTTTTGCATGTATTATGGTTTCGTAAATCAGGACCTAACGGTGAATCGGAGTGCCTCTGTGTTGAATTCCCACTGGGCGAATTATCTGAAGCTTTTTTTGTTTGGCTAATATGCAGTGTAACACTGCCCTGGCGTAATTATTGTCAGAACAGGGATCTGTGACTGATTTACCCTTCCTTCCTTTTTTTTCTGAGTTAAAATACAAACAGATATGGCAAAAAAGCAAGGCTGTATATATAAGTGTGTACAGATATTCAGTCTTTGACCTTAAGTACAGACGGATTCGGATTTATTGTAAATGCTGTGCTAGAAATCAAACTTGTATTTTTGCAATAAAGTTATATTGAGCTCCAGTCAGGAGCAGAACGCTGTACCTTTTTTTTCTGGCTGCCTTTTTTTCTTTAAAAAAGTCTGTCTGTCCACTATCTATCCATCTATCTATCTAAAGTTAGTTTATGGTTTGTACTGTGTCTTAATGATTGCTCATTTCCAACTAAATTTCAACTGTAAATTAAGTCTTTTTCTCTAGAAAAATATTTATGTATTTATTTAGTTATGTTTGTTTGTTGAAAGGAATAATACCCCCCACCCCAGCAGTATCTAAAAGGATTTTTAAAGTAGTCATCATGAACAAATGGATAATTCTCTGCAAACCCTTTTCTAAGAAACCTAGCATGGTTTTGCTTAAATTAGCCCAAATCTCTGGCATGAAGATGTCAAACAGGACAGGCATTTATGATGGCATCAGAGTAACAGAAATGTTGGTATGATAGTTGGTATGAAAACTGATGTCTGTGTGTTCATGTGCCACTATTAATATGCTAATTTAGACCTGAGAGGCCCTCCAGTGAGCATCTTGCGCTGCTTTGCTTGTTGCATTTTTATTGTCTGATGTTTTTCCTGCTATCCCATAATAACAGGAATGTTTGTTAACCTTGACCGTCTCTAAAGATTTCACTTGTACTTCAAACATGAACAATCACCGTGAGATGACAATGAGTTTTTTTTTTTTGCCTAACTTCTTAAGGCTAATGAGGTAGTTTCAGTTTCTTAGCAACAAGAAAGAACAAGAAAAAAAAAGTTGGTATGTTGATGGAATGATTGCCTTTGTGTTTAAGTTAAATGAAGCATAAATGCATGGTTGTATGGAAGAAAGACACATAAATATGTAAAAAGCAAAAGAAAGACTCAAGTCAAAAAAGAAATTGGGCTCCTGAATAAAAAAATTAAGCTGAAAAAAGTGATGTACGCAAGAAGGTAATTAAAGATTAGTGTGTTAAAGTAATAAAAATGAATAATTCAAATAATTAAAAGCAGGCCAGTCAATGACCTGCACATAAGGCATTGGATGGTATCCAGTGGTAGCAGATAGATTATTGTGTTTAAATAATCTATCTGCTAGTTATGTGTTAACCAATGGCACAGCAATGACAAAACTGTCTGCAAGTCAATTGCACACTTGTACTTCAAACATGAACAATCACCGTGAGATGACAATGAGTTTTTTTTTTTTGCCTAACTTCTTAAGGCTAATGAGGTAGTTTCAGTTTCTTAGCAACAAGAAAAAAAAAGTTGGTATGTTGATGGAATGATTGCCTTTGTGTTTAAGTTAAATGAAGCATAAATGCATGGTTGTATGGAAGAAAGACACATAAATATGTAAAAAGCAAAAGAAAGACTCAAGTCAAAAAAGAAATTGGGCTCCTGAATAAAAAAATTAAGCTGAAAAAAGTGATGTACGCAAGAAGGTAATTAAAGATTAGTGTGTTAAAGTAATAAAAATGAATAATTCAAATAATTAAAAGCAGGCCAGTCAATGACCTGCACATAAGGACACAACTCACATTACTGTCTTATTGCTCTAGGATTGTACTAGTTATGTGTTAACCAATGTCACAGCAATGACAAAACTGTCTGCAAGTCAATTGCAAAGTAACATTCAAGAGGCCAGAGTGGCAACTGACAATTCAGTTTGCTGTGAATTGATTTGTTCTGTCTGGGAGGAAAGGAGCAAAAGGTCTTTAGTTTCTTTCTTGCAGATTCACAAAGAACATCATGGGCCAAAGCAGCATCTGCAGATGAAGGCCAGGCTGTGCTTGAGAGAAACATTGCCTCTTCATTGAAAAGGCAATTAATTCTCACAGCAGAGCACTGGATGCAGGCTGTTTCACTTCACAGTGCAACACGAGGTACTGTTTAAGTCACGTTCACACCAAGAATGATAACGTACTCTTACAAATGTAACCTCGGTTCCCTGAGATATGGGAACGAGTACTGCGTCTGCTAAGACGCTATGGGAAAATGTCCTTTTTTATCCTGAACTGAAGCCTTTTTCAATAACGCAGTGTAACTGCACGGCCATTGGTTCGTGCAGTACACTTTAAAAATGAACCAATGGCTCGGCAGCGGTGCTGCACGAACCTATGGCCACAAAGCCCGCCAGAATGGGTGGGGCCATCTGGCTATATAAGCGGGCACTTCGCCATAAGATTCAGGTTACTTCGACTGAAGTGACGACTGAGCCGTGCAGCTGCATAGCATGGCTAGCAACACAGTACTCGTTCCCGTATCTCGGAACCAAGGTTACATTTGTAACCGAGTACATTCCCTATCGATACTTCACTTGTACTGCATCTGCTAAGACGCTATGGGAACCAGTACAATCACGCCGTGCTTATGGCAGAGGAACGACTACATGTGTAACCTTGCCCTAGGCACCTCAGGGCCCAAGGGGACAAGAATAGTAAACACCTCCCAAGGCGAACGGGCTAAGCTCACAGAGGTCACACCCGGCCTGAGTGATCGTTCCAGAAGACTTGCACAGCCCGGGTACCCATGAGGGCCAAGAGCGAGTAAGTCCTCTGATGGGTTTGAGCATGTTACGGCCAAACTCCTGCTCAGAGCGGTACTGCGTAAGCAGGTGCATACCAGTTATGCAGAAAGAACCCTAGCCTGCAAGGCAGGGACGTCCAGGTTATAAAACCTAGCAAATGTGGACGGCGAGGCCCAACCGGCCGCTGCACAAATTTACGCAATGGACACGCCACTAGACCATGCGCAAGAAGAGGCGACGCCTCTAGTTGAATGGGCTCGTACTCCAATGGGGCATTGCAGGCCCAAGGAAGAGTAGGCTAGCATAATAGCGTCAACTATCCACTTAGAAATTCTCTGCTTCGTGACCGGATGCCCTTTAGCGTGGCCACCAAAGCAAACAAAGAGCTGTTGAGACTGCCTAAACGGGGTGGAACGCTCTATGTAAACTTTCAGCGCCCTGACGGGGCAGAGTAAATTCAATTACTGGTCCTCTTCTGAGGGAGGAAGCACAGAGAGTGTAATGACCTGTGCCCTGAATGGAGTAGAGAGCACCTTAGGTATATAACCATGCCTCGGTTTCAGGATGACCTTGGAGTCGCCAGGCCATTAGTTTGACCGATGCTAATGCTAGCAGCAGAGCGGTTTTCAATGACAGGGACAGAAGGTAAACAGACTGCAGCAGCTCAAAGGGAGGACCCTTCAGGGCCCTCAGAACAGTGGGCAGGTCCTACGTAGGGACAGTGAGGGGACGGGGCAGATTCAGCCTCCTAGCCCCCCTCAGAAAACGTACAACAAAGTTGTTTCTGCCCATTGACTGGCCTGCTATAGGGGCATGAGAAGCCGTTATAGCTGCTACATAGACCTTGAGCATGGATGGGGAGCTTGTCCTTGGAATAATAAATTGGACAATGAGAGTTGACTTTTGAGGCGAACAGGTCCACTTCTGCCTTGCCAACGATCTCCCAAATTTCTCCCAAAGACCGTCTGCAGATGAAGCATCCATTCTTCTGAGGGGTCTTTGCTTCGTGACAACATGTCCGCTACTTGGTTCAGTTTGCCTGGAACGTGTGCTGCTCTCAGCGAGCGCAGGTTAGGCTGAGCCCATTCCAGGAGGCGCTCTACCAGCACAAAGAGGCGCCCCGAGGAAAGCCCTCCCTGGCGATTTATGTAGGCCACCACAGTTATGCTGTCTGAGCGGACCAGAAAGTGGTGTCCCCTCAGGTCCGGTAGGAAGGTTTGACAGGCCCGACATACCGCCAGCATTTCGAGGCAGTTGATGTGAAGACCGTCCTTCGCTTTCGACCAGTGCCCAAAAGCCGGTTTTCAGACCATTCCCAGGGGGATGCCCTGTTCCATCCACTGAGCATTCTTCCAAGGGGTCAGGGCTGTTACACATGTCTGTGACGCCACGCATGGGATGGAACCTGCGGTTTCAACATACCGCCAGCATTTCGAGGCAGTTGATGTGAAAACCGTCCTCCGCTTTCGACCAGTGGCCGAAAGCCGGTTTTCCTTCGCACAGAGCTCCCCAACCTGTGTTGGAAGCATCTGTCGAAACCACCTTTCTCCTGCAGACCATTCCCAGGGGGATGCCCTGTTCCATCCACTGAGCATTCTTCCAAGGGGTCAGGGCTGTTACACAGGCCTGGTCTACCTTGATAACATGGGATGGAACCCACGGTTTCAGCCAGTACTGAAGGGGACGCATACGAAGCAGGCCCAACTGTAGCACTGGAGATGCTGCGGCCATAAGGCCCAGCATCTTTTGAAACACCTTGAGGGGGCGAGAGGCACCGGCCTTGATGGAAGCCGCAAGCTGCTGTATGACCAGAGCACGCTCTGTCGTGACCACCGCTCTCATTTGGGTTGAGTCGAACACCATTCCCAGGAATGATACTCGTTGGCTGGGGGACAGTGCACTCTTGGCAAAATTGACCCTGAGCCCCAGGCACTCTAAGTGGCTGAGGAGGAGGGCTCTGTGAGATAGTGACTCTGCCTCCGACTGGGCCAGAACGAGCCAGTCGTCGAGGTAATTGAGAATGCGGATTCCCTTCTGCCTCAGATGGGAAAGAGCCGCATCCATGCAATTCGTGAAAGTGCGTGGAGCCAGGGATAGTCCAGAGAAAAAGACCTTGTATTGATAAGCCACTCCCTCAAAGGTGAATCTCAAGAATCGCTTGTGGTGGGGGGCTATCTGGATGTGAAAGTAGGCGTCTTTCAAGTCCAGAGAAAAGAACCAGTCATCTGGGCGGATTTGCGAGATGATCTGCTTCAATGTAGTCATCCTGAATGGCGGTTTCATGAGGCGTCTGAGATCGAGGGTGGGCCGCAGGCGCCATCCTTCTTGGGGATGAGGAAGTAACGGCTGTAGGAGCCTAACTTGCTCTGAGCTGGAGGGAACCGTCTCTATGGCTCCCTTTGCCAGCAGATTTTTCATTTCAGTGCGCAGGAACGTGTGCGTCTTTGCTCTGAACCAAAGTGGGGACCACCCCATTGAAACGAGGGGGTCTTCGAGCGAATTGAAGTGAATAGCCTCGCTTTATTATCCCAAGAACCC